TTTAATAAAAGTTAATAATAACTTTTTATTAAAAAAAATTTTTTAAAAATAAAAACGACTTTATTTTATTTTTTTATTTAATTTTTTCCAATTTTTTTATAAAATTTATTATTAAAATTAATTATTAAAAATTATTTAAAAATTATTAAAAATGCCAACTAAGCTGCCACGTAAGCAGGTAACCTGCTAAAATTGATGGTAACCTGCTATCCGGTAAAATTGCATACGTTTGGAGAGTTCAGTGGCCTAATTGCACATTTTTTGAGTGTTCAATGGCCTAATTGCACTTCTTTTTCGTTCAGTGGCCTAATTGCATTTTCATGTTACGTTCAGTGGCCAATTTGAACCTTATTCCTATCTGATATATATAGTCTATATGTATTGAGTATAAAAAATTTATATACAATTGCTTTATAGTAAAGTGAATTAGCTTGGTTAGTACGATACTTAAATTTTAACCTCATTTAACCAAAGGCCGGTGATCCAATCCTTCCCTTCACAATTTAGAATTCCTCAACTTTATTTCTTTGCTTATATTTTAAAAATTTATTTTTATTGATTTTTGTGTTTAATACGGAGTAGTATTTTTAATGTAGTTTTTGAATATATAAATTTTCATATATTTATACTATACATATTATGAAAATTTTTTATATTAAAGATATAAATTTTTATTTTAATTTTTTTATGCATTTTTTAAATTTATAAATTTTTATATACTTATACTAAACATATTATGAAAAATTGAATTAAAAAAATTTCAATCAACTCATGTTAACCAAACAAGACACCTAAAAGTAGGACGGAGGGAGTTATATGATATATTTTAAGATTGAATTATAAAAAAAAAAATTAAAAGATAATTTACTCCGTAAATTTTTATGAATATCTCATCAATGTAATATAGAAGCTTCTATCATGTGTCATTGTATTCAAATTATTCTAAAAAAGTTTGAAATTTATCTATTTAAAAGAAAAAGTATTTATAAAAATCATATAAATAATATAGAAGATGTGTGATTTATAATATGCTTTATGTTCAAATTATTTTATCTAGATAATTATGTTTCATATCTTTTTACATTTTTTTTTATTGCGTTTTGACATATTTTAATCTCTTGCTCCTAGTCAAAAAAGATTTTTAACTTCACATATGTTTGTAATTATTACTTTATAAATTTTTTAATAATAATTAATTTATTATTTATTATGATAACAATGTTATTGTTTATAAGTTTACTAGATTTTAAATTATTTATTCATTTTTATAAATAATATTATTTATTTATGAAGACACTTATGCGATTATTTATTATTTTGCATTAAGGAAAACACCTAGAATTTTTTTCATAATTATTGTTGTATATGTAAAATTGTTAAAAACTTGTTAATCTTATTTAAAGTTATTGATATTAATAATTTTTTCTTTATTTAATTTTAATTTTAGGCATGAAATAGTTTTTTTTTTTTTTTTTTTTTTTGTATCTGAAAGAGGGCAAAAACCCGGGGAACTCAGTGGTGACGACGAGTCCCCGCCTCCAATTGATCGAGCTTGAGGCTTTCGCAAAGAGCTAGCGGCGGCTCCGAGAGGTCGCGGTAACCAATCTGATGATCAAGAGCTGTCGCGGCGATCATATCTGCCACTATGTTTCCTTCCCTGAAAGTATGCTCAAAGGTAATCTCGCTGAAGGCACTGGCCTCCCGCATGCATCGCCAGAGGAGGTTATTGGTGACGTCGCTTGTGGCACTCTTCGGTCGTAAGTCACTAATCAGCTGCGCCGAGTCACTCTCAGCTATTAATTTTGTAATGCCTCTCCGTCTCGCCATGCACAAACCATGTAACATCCCCCATAGCTCTGCCTCATAAGCACTGCAGCGTCCAATGTTGCATGTAAAGCCAGTCAGCCATGTTCCGTTTTCATCGCGGAGCAAACCCCCACAGCCGGCCATGTCTTTGGCTTTGCAACAACCGTCAATATTCAGCTTCACCCAACCCCTTGCTGGTTTCCGCCATCGCACTTGGTCAGGCGTGTGATTTTCCGTTCCCTTCTCCGGGTGAATCCGCTTCGAATAAGCGGCCAGGACCTCCAATTCGTAATTCGCAATCCACTCGAGCTTCTGCCCCAAGGTTCTAGACTGCTGCTTGAAGATCTCATCATTCCGCCAGCGCCACAGCCACCAAAGTCGAATGCAGAAGCTCTCCCGCCAATGATCACTGAAACCATTCATTCCGTTACCCCGTAGATTCGTCTCTAGCCAAACATCCCAGGGCAAAGTGTCTAAACGTTCGCGCGTTCTGCTTGTGAGTGCTGCATTCCAAACCTGTTTCGCTGCCGGGCACGTTCTAAACAAGTGATTCAAATCCTCCGGGTGACCTGCACATCGAAAACAAAAAGGATTAGATGTCAACTTACGGCGTGCTCTTTCCGCATTCGTCAAAATCTTTCCGTGGAGAACTAGCCACAAGAACATGCAAATTCTGGCGGGCACGCGTATACGCCACATTTTCTTCCAGCTTCCATCAGTATTGTCTATAGGACCATTCACAATTGCACTGTAAGCTGATCGCACAGTGAACATTCCTTTGGGATCAAGGTCCCATCCTAAGGCATCCGGCACGTGTTCTTCCGTGAGAACGAAACTGGCGAGGCGTGCTTTCATCTCTGTTGGGAGGGCATCCTCAAGCAATTCCCATTTCCAGCCCCGCATTTCGTCCCAATAATCCCTAACTGGTGCGTAAAGGTCCGGCAGAGCCAATTGCGTTCGCAGCTGCACATATAGAGGCTCCGGTGAAATCCACTTCCCAATCCAGAATTGCGTGTCCATTCCATTCCGGACGACGTGAGTAAGATGCTCAGTCATAAAATCCCAGGCCTCAGCAATACCTCTCCAAGCATTTGAAACCCCTTTCCTTCCCTGCGTAACTTGTTGCGTTCCTATAGGACACCTGTACTTCGTGGTCATGACCCGTGCCCACAAGCTCTCACTATCATTTTTAATACGCCAGGCTAGTTTAACCATGCATGCCCTATTCATATCGCAAAGCCGCAAGAGTCCCAACCCACCCGCTTCTTTCGCGGTGGTAACCAAATCCCAGTTAGCCAGGCTCATTTTGTTTACCGTGTCGTTTCCGCCCCAAATGAATTTCCTCATTCGTTTCTCGATTTCCAAGCACAAACTCTTGGGGAGCGCCGTGGTTTGCATCGTGTAGATCGGGATGGCATTCAGCACTGATTTGGCCAAAACCACACGCCCTGCCAAAGATAAATTCTTTGCTTTCCATCCTTCCAGACGGGAGTTGATTCTAGTCAGTAAATCGGAGAAGGTATTGCACGTGACCCGACCGTGGATTGCCGGCACCCCTAGATACTTCCCAAAGTCCATCGTTCTTGCAATATTCAATCGCCTTGTGAGGTCGTCTGCCAGCCCCGGCGCCGTGTTTTTTGAAAATAGCACCTGGGACTTATTAAGGCTTATGCGCTGCCCTGAAGCCGCACAAAATCTGTCCAAAACGTTCTTTACCACCTCGACCTGCGCCACTGACGCCTTCGTGAATAGCACCATGTCATCTGCGAAACATAAATGAGTTAGAACGGGCCCATTAGAAGCAAGCTTTATACCTTTCCAAACCTGATTCTCAACTGCAGAGGTAATTAACTGGCTGAGCCGTTCCATACACAAAACAAAGATAGCCGGCGACATAGCGTCCCCCTGCCTAATGCCCCGGGTGGGGCGAATTGGCTCCAATCTTTCCCCGCCCCAAAGGATAGACAGCGTGGGCATTCGGATACATGTCATCATGAGGTCTTTAAGCAGTCCGGTGAAGCCAGCTTGTTCCAACGTATCTTGAATGAAGTCCCAGGATAGGCGATCATACGTTTTTTCCAGGTCCAGTTTGATCGCCATATACCCTTTCGCACCTTGTTTCCCTCGCATAGTGTGCATGACTTCCTGAAAAATAAGGACGTTGTCCGTGATTTGACGTCCTGGTACGAACGAGCTTTGGTACGGTCCCACAATCTTTGGGAGGATCAACTTGAGACGGTTCGTGATAGTCTTGGTGATGATCTTGTAACTGACATTGCAGAGACTAATGGGTCTGAATTGCTTGATGGTCTCCGGACCCTTCACCTTAGGAATCAGGGCTATAAGAGTATCATTCAGCCCCTCCGGAAGGACCCCTGTTAAGAAAGCCTGTTGAACCAGTCTGAAAACATCATCCCCCGTTTCCGGCCACATATGTTGGTAAAAACCAGCTTGAAAGCCATCCGGTCCCGGTGCATTGAACGGCTTCATATCTTTTAAAGCATTATGGACCTCTTCTTTTGACACTGCCCTGTTAAAACAAGCCCAATCAATCTCTCTAAGGCGAGGAAAGTTCGCATGCAAGCCTCCTCCTAGGATCCCATTGGACTCCCCCAAGAACAGCTGGGAGTAGAAATTTCGTACATGAGAGCGCATTTCAGAGGCGTCCGAGATCCATACGCCATTGTCATCCAAGAGCCGATGTACCGAACTGCGTGACTTGCGCACTGTGGCCGCCGCATGGTAGTATGTTGTATTCCTATCTCCAGAGCTAATCCATTCCTCCCTGGATTTTTGGTACCATAACAATTCTTCTTGGTGCAGGGTCATTTCAAGCTCAGCTTTTAACTTCGTTTCGAGACTAGCAAGGCCCCTGTGGTACCTGTGAGCCTGGACCTTCTGGATGCCACTGAGTCGAGACAGAAGAATCTTCTTGCGTCTGAAATGTTTCCAAACAACTCTTTGTTCCAGGTGGATAGCTCCGTAGCCAAGATTTTAGTGTTTTCAATGAAACCCCGGTCAGTCCTCCAAGTTCGGTGGACCACGTCGTGAATGTCGGGTCTAGTGAGCCAGGCCGCCTGAAAAGTAAACGGTGCCACAGGGCGGCTTCGCCTTTCACCTAGGACCGAGTTGCCCCTGTTTTTTTTTTTTTTTTTATATATATATATATATATCCTGCCCCGGGCCTATGTCATGGCCCAATGACAGAATTTGTAATCAAGAAAGAAGAAGGATGAAGTGATAAATTCTGGGAATAAGAAGAATACCAAATGACAAATTACTTGCCGGCTGTTACTTATTTTATTTTGTTATTTTGTTTGATTACTTTTGTCTATTTTTCCATAAACGTTGTCATGGAAGCTCACACATCGTCTTACAGTATGGATGAAGATGAAGCGTCTTCTTCCAGTTCTTCCAAACTGGAAGAAGACAACGTTACCATGGCAGTGTGGTTGGCTACCAAGCTGCCATGGCATCTAATAATTAAAAAAAAATTATTTAATTATTTAAATATATTACATGTCAGCATTTAGGATTCATGTGGATGTCAAGTCAACTAATTTTAACCAATTATTTGATGATAACTTGTAAAAAGGTCTAATTGTATTTTTTAAAAAGATTTAAGTGCCTAACTGAAGCGTTTTGTAATTGAGGGAGCTAATTGCACTTTCATCAATAGTTCAAGGGTCTATTTAATCCTTATTCATAACTTTTTTATTTGTTTCGTTTTCTTGAAAATGAACAATATATTTATTATAAAATAATAATAATAATAATAATAATAATAATAATAATAATATTGATATTATTATTATTATTATTATTATTATTATTATTATTATTATTATTATTATTATTATGTGGTAGTGGTGGTGGTGACGTGGTAGCGGTAGTGGTAATGATACATTTTTATATATTAATTTTGTTTGTATTAAAAGAAAAAAAAATTAATTTGCAAATGTGGACTATAACCAATCGTTATGCTGTGGACCCGTGTCCAGCCTACAGTGTTGACACGGTAACGGTGCCGTTAGTGGCACCGTTATCTTCCACTTTTTTTTTTTTTTTTTTTTTTTTTTTTTTTTTTTTTTTTAAATTTCAGACCGCTTCGTTATAGGAGCATATGTTCATAATTTTATCACTATATGTTCATAATGTCAGAGTTCTATGTTCAAAATTTCATAACTGTACATTCATAATTCGGTAACTGTACATTCATAATTCAATAACTGTAAATTCATAATTTTCGAAACTCTATGTTCACAATTTTAGAGCTCTATGTTCATAATTTTATCACTGTATGTTTATAATTGTAAGTTCATAATGTCAGAGCTCTGTGTTCATAATTCAATAACTGTACATTCATAATCCCATAACTGTACATTCATAACTCTATAACTGTACATTCATAATTTTCGAAACTCTATGTTCACAATTTTTGAGCTCTATGTTCATAATTTTATCACTATATGTTCAAAATTGTAAGTTAATAATGTCAAAGCTCTGTGTTCATAATTTCATAATTCTATAACTGTACATTCATAATTACACTGTACATTCATAACGGCATAACTGTACATTCATAATCCCACAAATGAATAATGCCGTTAACGGCAAGAAAAAATCAATTTTTTTTTAAAACTAGAATGACGCGTTTTTCCTGAAAACAACGTCGTTTTGGACTCGTGTCCACAATACATGGTGGACACGGGTTCAGGGCATAATTTGCGGACTATAACAATCCCTAGAATTATTATGGGCCCAACTTAAAATTACAAACAGAGAAACCCAAATCTTAAACTGGGCCCGCTCGACCCGTAATTTCGTAAATCCGGCCATCATCGATTCATCGGTGATCGATCATCCTTTTCCTCTCACTCAGCACTCTACTGTCTATACTGTCAGCAACACACCTCTGTCGCGGCGGCGCCTTTAGGAATTGCAGGACCAAAATTTCGTCGCAGAGTTTAAGGGATTCTCAACAATGGAGAGAAAAAGCGACGTCATATTCACATCTTCCTCTATCAAACTCCCTCCATTCTCTTTTCCGTCCCAGTCCCGCACCCCTAACCCTCTACTATCTACCCTCCATCTTACCCTCAGCAAACTTCCCAAGCTCCCAAACCCATTTGCCCCAAATTTCAACCCGCAGAGTGTGCTCACCGAATTCCTGAAATTCCCATTTCACAAAACCCTCAAAAGGTTCAATTCCAACCCCCAATTCCCTCTCCTGTGCTGCTCCTCACTGTCGCTGGCCCAGACTCGGGAAACTGATGCTGACTTTCCGGCGACTCAGCCGGTGCCACCCAAGAGTGCGAGGGAGGAGAGGGTGCTGATAAGTGAGGTGTTGGTGAGGAGCAAGGACGGTGAGGAGCTTGAGAGGAAGGATTTGGAGGCTGAAGCTCTCAATGCTCTTAAGGCTTGCCGACCAAACTCGGCCCTAACTGTCCAGGAGGTCCAGGAAGATGTGCATAGGATCGTTGCCAGTGGGTACTTCTGCTCTTGCATGCCCGTCGCTGTTGATACCAGAGATGGGATTCAATTGGTTTTTCAGGTACTTCCGGAATATATTTATTACGTATGCTCTTCATTGGATTAATCTAAAGTTACATACTTTGTATGTTTTATTCGTGGTATATATACGTGTATGGAAGTGTGCACTGTGCACTATGCAATGTGCATAGAGAGTTGGGGTTAGGTTGATGAAATGACCTTTAGTTTGATAAAGGAGTTGACTTGGAAATGGAAAACTTTTGTTCTATGCAATGTTTTCAGGGGTAATGGTTTTGGGTGATCAGTGATGTATCCTTAATCTTGATGAAACATTTATTTTATTTTCCATGGAAAAGGAGATTTTATAGGCTTTAAACAAGGAGCTATAGGATTTGAAATTTGGGGACAAACTACTGGGAGTCTGATACAGGAATGGTGGAAAAGACTAAGGAAGAGTGAAATAGAAATCTTGTGATATCTAGGGATTCCATTTTGGCTGTCATCATTTCCTTATTTTTATCTTTCTAAAATTAACTGAGATGAAATATGCTAAAAAAGAAACTGGGAACTCTTGCTGTGTAAAGTTTACATTTACTGGTGGTAGATGGAATTGCATTCTTGCATTGGTCTAAATCACAATATGTATCTTAAGATTACTTAATGCTTTTGGGTGTTTGTAATTTATTGTTAGACTATTCTATTAGATCATTTTCCATGGTTGTGATGATTTAAGGTCAATCTGCCTTGCAAATTCGTTTCAGTTTAGATGCTTGTTTTCAGCACTTACTGGTGACAGTAATACCAGACAATAATAGGACAGCTGCTATTTTACTCATTGCTATTATCATATTGTAAATTGTTGGGAAAACCTTGATATGCAATCTATCAGGATATTTGCTTTATATGCATATATTTTTCAAGCTGCATATGTGTAATTTGTTATTTAATACTTGTCTAGTGATGTTTGTTTGTACTCAGTATCAAATTACTGGTATTTGTGATTACATTTTTTGTTCATGATAAGTTTTTGAATAGTCCTTTCTATGCTGCTGCAAAGTTTGGAAGCCTTGAATGCATGAAAGTGTAATAAGAAATGCATCTTCAGTACTCCTTTTATTTCTTTAGGTGAATTTCCTAATAGAAGGGGTAGAAAATATAATGTTTACTTGTTGAGTGATGCTACTATTTCTCATATCAGTATCTTTTGCCACAAGGTAGAACCAAACCAAGAGTTTCAAGGGTTGGTGTGTGAAGGAGCCAATGTTCTTCCAACAAAGTTTGTAGAAGATGCTTTTCGTGATGGATATGGTATGTTTTCCTTTCTATTGTTAATCATCCACATACTTATTCATTTACTTCTGTTCATTTATGTTTATCTTTAATTGTCTTACCTAGCTATTATTATTTCATGCTTATATCCTTTATGTTGTTGTCAAGTGATGCAGGGAAAACTGTTAACATTAGACGCTTAGATGAAATAATTAGCTCAATCAATGGTTGGTACATGGACCGTGGTCTCATTGGCATGGTTAGCTATTGATCCGCTGTAGAACTGTAGTATTCTATTTCCTGTTACCTCCATGATGTGAAATGAAATCCGTCTCAAGTCTTATTTTGGCCTTAAAGTTTGATTTGTGTTTCTCTTTCTTGTTCTCTTTAGGTGTCAGGTATTGAGATTTTTTCAGGAGGTATTCTTAAGTTACAAGTTTCAGAAGCTGAAGTCAACAACATAAACATACGTTTTGTTGATAGGACGTAAGGATCTATAAAATGACTGTATTTAAGCAAATAGTGCCACTTTTCATATTTCTTGTATGATTTATTCATTGTTTCACCAGGGGTGAACCAACTGCTGGAAAAACAAAACCTGAAACTATACTTCGGCAACTTTTAACCAAGAAAGGACAGGTACATGTTTTCCTGGACCCTCTTCTGTAAGATATTTTTTCACTGTATTAATTATTTTTTATTGAACTGCTTATTACCATAATATAGGTATACAGTGCACTTCAGGGGAAAAGAGATGTTGAGACTGTGCTGGCAATGGGAATTATGGAAGATGTTAGCATCATTCCCCAACCTGCAGGAGGTAGTTCACCTAAAACCTCATGTGTATTATCTTGCTATAGCAGCAGTCTATGTACAATTAAATTGTACTATTTCTTTTTGAGGTTAACATATTGATATGTAACAGATACTGGAAAGGTTGATCTGACAATGAATCTTGTTGAGCGTAAGAGTGCTAGAGGTATTACTGCTGGTGGCGGAATTTCAAGTGGGTATGTGATATATTTTACTGAAAACTACTATGTTTTGGAAAAAACATTTTTGTTCAGAGCTATTAACTTATTTATCTTTCAATCCTTCAATCCATAGGATAACAAATGGGCCGCTTGCTGGATTAATTGGAAGGTAATTGGTGTCGAATTATTAGTCTCATGTGTTATTTTGACCCATTTTAAGTTTTACCATTTGCTATATGTTGTGAGTTTTTTGATCAACCAAGTGTTCAAGCTTATCCAATATTTGCATTTGTGCAATTTTTACATGAAATTCCATCAATTTCTTTCTTCATCATCAACTTTTTGATGTCCACAATTCTGGATTCTTTATGATTTGGCAGGATCTTAATAAACTTTTATGCTTTACCTAAGACCTTGTAGCAAAAGGTCTAAATTTTTTGTTTTTCAATTTGCATGAAACTTAGTCCAACAATATTGCTTGCTGAATATCTTTCCCTCTTAAACTTGCATAGTTCCACCACCAGTCTTGTTCAAGTAGTTTTACTTCCAAGGTTATGCTCATGGATTTTTTAAAAAATGCAGCTGTGCCATTTACCATAAGAATCTTTTTGGGAGAAACCAGAAACTCAATTTGTCACTAGAGAGGGGGCAGATTGACTCAATATATAGGATAAAATACATAGACCCATGGATTGAAGGAGATGATAAGAGAACGTCAAGATCAATCATGGTTCAGGTATTATATGGTTCAATACTATAATTTTCATTTACATCATTACAAACTGATTTCTATTTCATGTTGTACCTAGAATTCGAGAACACCTGGCACACTTGTTCATGGAAACCAACCAGACAATAGTAGTCTGACTATAGGACGTGTAACAGCTGGGATAGAATACAGCCGCCCATTTAGGCCGAAGTGGAATGCAACTGCTGGCATTAATTTTCAGGTAGTCTATAGATGCATAATATCCATTTGATGCTTTTAATATTTGTCTTCCCTGATTGTTCTTGGGTAAACTTAAGTTGAAATCATAGAAAAGATTTTTTTTTTTTTTGTTTATTTTTATTTTATATATGATTCTATGATTTAAATCTATTAGTGATGAAACTTGGTAAGAGCTCTCGTGGTCTTAATCACTTTAAATACATTTTTAGACAGTCAGTTTAACTCATTTCTTCTCCTTTTTCTTTGTATTAAACTATTAAATTTTATGTTATTTCACAAATTGTAGAAATAATGACCTAAATAAAGTAAATTTTGTCATTGTTGAATAAATCTGCCATGGCATGTATGGTTTAGACAATCAAACAGTTTATCTGAAATTCTAATTTACATCACCTTATGCATTTATCCTCTTTACCATTTCTTATTCTTGCCAAGAGGTATCTGGTCAGTATGGTGTCTGATAACTATGTTCTGACTTCTGAGTAAGTTGCAGAACCATAATAAATATATCTAGTACGGTATAACTAGACATCTATCATTTTAAGTAAAACGATATATATAGAGTATATACATACCATTGAAGTATATAGAGAGTATCACTAACAAGAATGTAAAAAAAAGGGAAGGAAAAAGAGCACATTTTCTAATGGTTCTTAAAAAATTGAGTGATGTGGGTGCTTAACTTGGTTTATTTTAATTTTGTTTTATCCAATCCTTTGTGGAGCAAATTACTTGGCCAATCCTCGGTTATATAAAAAAAAAGATGTTATTCATGTTTTAAAATTCCTTTGCATTCTGTTAGATATTTATGTATTCTGACCTGAAACGTGTAGCGTGCTGGTGCTCGTGATGATAAGGGGAATCCTATTATAAGGGACTTCTATAGCAGCCCCCTTACTGCAAGGTAATATCATTGACATGTTGGCTTACCTCACCTTAATTTCACATTTTTTTTATTTTCACATTCTCTGATGCTTATGTTTCCAACTTCTCTACAGTGGCAACACCCACGATGATATGTTACTTGCTAAACTTGAGACCATGTATACTGGTTCTGGTGACAAAGGTTCTTCAATGGTTAGTTTCTTCAATTACTTTTCTCTCGTGCTCGAATTTCTTGTTGCCAAAGCCATAATAGATTGTTTTCCTTTTCTTTATACAGTTGGTTTTCAACATTGACCAGGGGATTCCTGTATTGCCAGAGTGGCTAGTTTTCAGTAGGGTAAATGCTCGTGCCTTGAAGGACTTGGCTGTTGGTCCTGTGAGGTTCTTTTTAAGGTATTTATTGGTGTAAATGTGTAATCCTCTTTCTATAGGAGTAAGAAATGTAGCTAAATGGAGTCTTTCAGCTTTCAACTATATTCCAATTATCCTTAGAATATGTTGTTAAATTTGGTGTCTCATTCTTAGATTACCGACCATCTTAAATGATCTTTCTGCAGTTTGTCTGGTGGTCATGTTGTGGGTAATTTCCCTCCGCATGAAGCTTTTGTTATTGGTGGTACCAACAGTGTTAGAGGATATGAAGAAGGTGCAGTTGGCTCAGGTCGATCGTATGTGGTTGGCTGTGGCGAAATTTTATTTCCCCTGGTAAGTGAAGGCAGTTGAACCCGTGAAGAGGGTAAACCTCAACTGTTGATCCATCCCTAACATTTTTTTCCATAATAATCTTGTATGCTGTGTTGCAGAGGGGGCCAGTGGAGGGAGCGATATTTGCTGATTACGGGACAGACCTCGGTTCTGGCTCAAGTGTGCCTGGTATGCATTGATTCCACCCTTGCTTGACAGTTACGTATTTACATTTGCGTTTAGAAACCCGGAAAATGATTTGTGTCTGTGACATTTGTTTTCACGTTAGGCGATCCTGCTGGGGCGAGGCTAAAACCTGGAAGTGGCTATGGAGCGGGGCTTGGCATTCGCGTGGACTCTCCTTTGGGGCCTCTAAGACTTGAATATGCCTTCAATGACCAGCGCGTAGGAAGGTTTCACTTTGGGGTTGGCCTACGGAACTGAGAGTAGCCATTTTTTTTTTTTTTTTTTGGTTTTTTCATCCTTTTGGGTAGCTTAGCTTGTGGCTTGCTAGTTATTAGTGTAACAATTTTGGCCAATGTTATTATTGTGATTGCGGAGTATTATTTTACTTGACCAATTGTTATCTCAACAAAAGAGCACTTGGAAAGTGAATTAGGATGCGAAGCTCCTTGGAATCCTCAATTGTTAACAGATATGCCTTTGATATTAATATTGATGTGTAATAAAATATAATGCTAATTTAAATTAACACACACACACATATATATATATATACTGAAAAGTTCTCGTGCGGTTGAATGCTTCTCGTGCGGTTGTGCGGTTATTAATGTGCATGAGATTTGTACTTAATGTGCGTGAGTGTTGTGTCTAATGTGTTTGAGATTTGTACTTAATGTGCGTGAGTGTTGTGTCTAATGTGCTTGAGATTTGTACTTAATGTGCGTGAATATGTAAAATGCAGCAGAAAATATGGATATCAGCTTCTTCCCCATACCCAGTAACCATTGTCCCCTCCCTGAGATTTGTTTATTTATTTATTTATTAATTGATTTATTCTGCTATGGTGAAGGTGAGTATGGATGACATAGAAAAACTAGTGGAAAGAAACAGAGCATTTGATCTACTGGTGATTGGTTTGCAAGAGGTTCCTCGGATTAATGTTTCCAGATTGTTGAAAATTCTCTTATTACTCATGCACGGATTAATGTTTCCAGATTGTTGAAAATTCTCTTATTACTCATGCACATTAAGCACAAATCTCACGCATATTAAGCACAATACTCAGGCAAATTAAGTACAAAACTCACGCATATTAACATGACGCACATTAAGTATAAATCTCAGGCATATTAAGCATAACACTCACGCACATTAAGTATAAACCTCACGCACATTAATCCACCGCATGGGAAGCAAAAAATGCACCTGATCCCTTCTCTCTCTCTCTCTCTCTCTCTCTCTCTATATATATATATATATATATATATATATATATATATATATATATATATATATATATATATGGGGAAAGGATCAGGTGCATTTGAGGCTTTCTGTGCGGGTGGACGCACATTAAACATTAATTTGATGCACTTAAAGTACACAACACACATTAAGCACACAAACTTCACGCATGTTAAGCACAAGCCTCACACATGTTAAGTACAAGTCTCATGCATGTTAAACACAAGTTTCACGCATGTTAATCACAAAAACACACGTACCTTAAGTTTAAAAAAACAATTCACATTAAGTACACACTCACGCACCTTAAGCACACGACTACTCACGCACTTTAAGCACAAAACTCATGCACATTAAGCATAAAACTCATGCATTTTAAAGTTTCAATAACAACTCACACAACTACTTACATTAAGTACACACTCACGCACATTAAGCACAAAACTCACATACTTTAGGCACAATACTTACACACCTTAAGTACAAAACTTAGGCACAATACTCACACATTAACATTACACTCACGCATATTAAATACAAATCTCAGACACATTAAGCACAAGACTCACGCATATTAAGTATAAAACTCACGCACATTAATCAATCGAACAACCGCACTGGAATCTTTATATAAAAGAAAATATTTGGTAATAAAACATATTATTTTTTAATCGTTTATTTTTATGAACTAATTCATCAATTAAGTTTACTAAACACTTTTAATAACCAAGACTATGTGATCTAATGGTATCCGGGTTGAACTTCCATTTGAAAGGTTGTGAGTTGAGCCTCAGGATACTACATTGTAATAGAGCCAGTAGCATTAAAAAAAAAAACTTTTAATATAATTCAGTCATTTAAGTTAACAACAAAAAACATTTGTATACAATGATATCTTTTATATGTAGTTTATTAGTTGTCAAAACAGTGACGATTCCTTATGGTTTTTACCCCGTAAACTATTTCTTGTATATATATTGGATAAAATAAGAACGGTTGCTTAAAAAATAAAATAAAATAAAATCATCCTGACCGTCAAATTGAAAGTGATCAACGACTCCAAAGTAAGGAATTTTTTTTTTTTAAAAAAGAAATACGGTGACATTTTGGTAAATATTTTAAACTTTAAAATACATCAACCAATACTATAAAACACACCGATTAATACTACAAAATACATTGAACATTAATACAAAGTGCACCCGTAGTGATATGTGAAATGTAACCTCTTGAGTGCGCTTTTACATATCATTAGATGCACTTTGTAGTTATGCATGATGCACTTCAAAGTTTGATATATTTATAAAAATGTCATGCATTTTTTTTTAAATTGCCTTACTTTAGAGACGTCGAACTTCTCTAGATCAATGACTGAGATTAGTTTGCAGTTTTTACCTAGATCCCATCCTAATAGCATTAAATATAGATGCTACACGAGAATCACAAATTATAGTGTCAGTTGGTGTTTTTTTTGTAAAGAAAAAAAAAAGTTTAATTGGCTATGCTTTATTTCAGTTCTCCATTTTTCATCTCTCTATTTTATTATTATTATTATTTAAAAAAAATATTCTCCATTCTATATTTAAAATTGGAGAACTGTATAAGTAAACACATTTTTTTTTCTTTCTCAAATTTCATTTCTAAAATAAAATTCAATTTATTATTAATTGAAAACACATCATATGCTAACGACATGCACATAATATATGAATATATATTTTTTTGGACCAAGGTTCACAATGCAATGTGAACCTTTGTCCATATCGTATAACTTGGGGCAAATTATGTTGTGGAACCGTGAATACGGTTCCAAAACTGTTCATAATTATGAATATATAGTTCTATAATTATGAACATAGAGTTGTGAACATAATTATGAACGTATAGTTCTGTAATTATGAATATAGAGATTCAATAATTGTGAATATGAAGTTCAAAAATTATGAACATATAACTTTATAATTATGAACATATAGTTCAGTAATTATGAACATAGAGTTTTATAATTGTGAATAGAGTTCAATAATTATGAATATGAAGGTAAAAAATTATGAATATATAGCTTTATAATTATGAACATATAGTTCAGTAATTATGAACATAGAACCGTGTCCGGAACGTTATGTTGTGCAACCGTGTGCACCATGCAAGGTGCACACGGAATTGGATCCATAATTTCTATACTATAGATTCATAATTTTTATACTATAAATTCATAATTTTTATACTGTACATTCATAATTTCTATACTATAGATTCATAATTTCTATACTATAGATTTATAATTTCTAAACTGTATAGTTATCAAATTATGAACATATAATTTAGTGATTTGTGAATACAGAGTTCAACAATTGGGAAATGAATATTGAAAATTATGAACATAGAGTTTTGTAATTGTGAATATAGAGTTCAATAATTATGAATCTATAGTATAGAAATTATGGATCCAATTCCGTGTGCACCATACATGGTATACACGTAGGCTGTTAACGAACCGAACATAAACGAATAAAGGTTGTTCGTGTTCGTTTGTTAAGAATTTTGGAGTATTAGTGTTCGTGTTCGTGTTCGTTTGTTAAGGTTTTTGAAAATTCCATTCGTGTTCGTTTGTTAAGCGTTTATTAGTGTTTGTTAACGTTCGCGAACGTGTTCGTTTACGTTAACAAACATGTTCGTTAACAAACACGTTCATGAACATGTTGTTTTACGTTCATGAACCTTTAATAACCATACACCTGCACATGTTCAGGATCACAATTCGTTCGTGAACAAAAAATAATCTACGTTCATGTTCACGAACATTATTAAACGAACACTAAACGAGCTTGTTCACGAACACAAACGAGCTTGTTTACGATTTCTTAACAAACGAGCATACAACTGTTCAAACTCTATTCGTTTATTAATCGAGCTCTAATTTTTGTTTATTAATGATTCGTTTACCTTAACAAATGAACATAAATAAACGCTTACGAAACACAAACACAAATAATTTGTCAAAAACTCTGTTTGCTAACACCCTATTAGCACACGGTTGCACATCATAATTTGCCAACCGTGTCCACCGCATAACTATTGATAACTTGGCAACCTACTTTGGGCAGTTCAAAATTAATCCGACCTGGCCCATTATGGGAATACTATATATTTCCATTATTGGAAACAATTTAAATATTGGTTTAATATTTATGACAAATTTAAACATGTTACATGTATACAAATTCTTATACTATAAGGCATACATGTTTTTATATCAAAAATTACATACACATTTATGTACTCAGGTACCAAATTAAACTCATTCACATATATAACCACCACCAAACCTACAGAAGCCCATGTGCAATTCACTCTGATCTTGTACGTATACACACCCGCCCATATTTATTCCATTCCTAAGATTTGTGGAGTTGTCTGTTGGCTGTTGTCCCATTTTGCCTAAATATATTTATTGTTATTCAATGCGTTTGCGTTAGAAAATTCACCTTTACTTTAATATATTTTTTTTTTTTGAAAATACCTTTACTTTAATATAATTTGCAGTGAAGAATGCATTTCATGTCCCCTTCCCTCGTTAACTGCTCTGCTGCAAATATATATGTTTATGAATTATGATGCCTGCTCCGCATGCATAGCTCTGTTGATTACATATATGAGTGGAGTTTGAAAATAATGATTCGGGATTGAGTTTCAGTTGTATCTGTTAGGCATATTATATTGTTGGTACAATTTAATATAACACTAGACTTAGTCTTATTGTTTTTGATTTAGTCTTGTAACCATTAGCTATTGTACAGGGTTAGTTAGATTAGTTCTTTATCTCTTATCTATCTCCTGTAACGATCAATTCTGATTCAACGAGAATTATTCACTCATCTGGTATCAGCTAGCTAGGTGCTCCCTATTCTCTCTCCTCTTTCGAAAACATGTCGTCGAACTCCAGTGAGAGAACCGTTACCGCCGCCACCCACCCTTCTCCGGCCACCCCAAACACTCTATCCACGGCACACCACTTTGTGCCAAAAAAGCTCACCACAAAAAATTACCTGTTTTGGCGCACTCAGTTGGTGCCGTTTCTAAGAGGACAAGGTCTTCTCGGATTTGTGACCAGCGACACCCCGTGTCCATCGGCCACTGTAACCACCCCGACGCCGAGCGACGACGGCTCGGGTGGAACGACGTCCACAACGACGGCGAACCCGACGCATGCAATATGGGAGCAGCAGGATCAGTCCATATTGTCGTTGTTGATCTCGTCTATGTCCGACGAGGTGCTATACCTGGCGGTCGGACGCAGCACGTCGCATGAGGTTTGGACCTCCGTCACGGCGGCCCTCGACTCTTTGACTCGGGCTAGCTGCTTGAATCTCCTCGCCCAGTTTCAGTCACTACGCCAAGGTGACAGCTCTCCGGGAGAATATCTCGGGCGAGCTCAATTATTGGTGGAAAACTTGTTAGTGCTCGCCGGTAGGCCCGTATCGCTGGACGAGCAGAATTTATACGTTTTCCGGGGACTCAGACCGGAATTCAGATCGATGGCGTCGTCCCTGGCAGCGTCGGGCACGACGGTCTCCATTCCCCAGCTGTCGGATTTCCTCCAAGCCCAAGAATTCATCTGGGCAGATGAATTCTCAGGCAGCGTTTCAGTTCCCGCCGGCGGATCCCATGCAACCTTGGCGGTTGGACGTGAACAGAATCACCATCACAATGGTGGTCCTTGGCATGCGGGTTCCGGTCAGGGGCGAGGCCGTGGTGGTGGAAGAGGCCGCAACAATAATGGCAGAGGCCGCGGTGGAGTTCCCCGCTGTCAGATATGACGCTCCCAAGGACACAGGGCGGTTTACTGCTATAGGAGATATTCCGGCCAGCCGCCGACGCAGGTCCACGCCACGATCGCCGGTGATGAGCAGACGGTGACGGCAGATGGTTGGTACCCGGATACCGGCGCCTCCTCGCACCCCACACCTGATCCGGAGATGCTCACCCACTCCGAGCCGTACAATGGCGGTGATGTGCTCCGGGTTGGAAACGCTTCAGGTTTGGGTATTTCTGATATTGGCTATGCATCGTTAAATTCTGTTTCTAGGTCATTAAAATTAAATAACGTTTTACATGTGCCTAATCTGTCATTACCTTTATCGTCAGTTAATCGGTTTACCATTGACAATAACGTTTATTTTGAGTTTCATTGTGATCACTTTGTTGTGAAGGATTGCCGAACCAAAGCGGTGCTCCTTAGGGGTCCTACCACAAGTGGTTTCTATCGTATGTCTTTGTCTCGGTCACCAGTTGCATTAATAACCGCTCGTGCCACGTCGGATGTATGGCACCGTAGGCTTGGTCATCCACATGAGCGTGCTCAACATCATGTTCTCCTCAAGTGTCCGGTCACTCCGTCCAAATCAAGTAGTGCAAAGCTATGTTCGTCGTGTCAACTCGGGAAATTCTCTCGATTCCCATTAGATAGAGTTAATTCCCGTAGTAATAATATACTTGATCTTTTGTATACTGACATTTGGGGACCAGCACCCGTTGTTTCGGTCGAGGGATTTCGTTATTTTGTTTTATTTGTTGATGACTGTACGCGTTTTTGCTGGTTTTACCCTATGAGGTTAAAATCAAATATTTATAAGATATTTGAGTCGTCTAGAGTCATGGAAGAACGCCAATTCTCACGTTCTATCAAGTCGGTTCAATCGGATTTGGGGGGCGAATATCGCCGTTTACATACAACTTTTCAAAATCTTGGGATCGTACATAGGCAATCTTGTGCCTATACGCATGAGCAGAATGGCCGAGTAGAGCGCCGGAACAGACATGTTGTTGAGACCGGGCTTGCTCTACTCGCAGAAAGCTCGGTACCTATACAACACTGGGCTTCTGCTTTTGAAACTGCCTCTTTCCTAATTAATTGCCTACCGTCATCTGCACTAAAAAATGTCAGTCCCTACGAGTCTGTCTATAACAAATCACCACCATACACTTTCCTACGGGTCTTCGGGTGCAAGTGTTATCCTTATATAAGGCCATACAATCGCCACAAGATAGAGTATTGCTCTGCACCCTGTGTCTTCCTAGGTTACCCAACGTCCTATAGGGGTTATCGATGCATGGACCTAATATCTGGAAAGACCTTCATCTGTCGCCATGTTCGATTTGATGAAAGTGTTTTCCCCTATGCAACAGGTGCACAAAGCAAGGTGGGGTCGGTTGACTCACACAATTCCACGCCTTGGGGGTCGGGGCACTTGGTACCTCATACATCACCACCGGTCCCGCTAGATGAACCTCCCATAGCGGTGCAGGTGCCGCCAATGGCTATCCAGGATCATCAAGGGGTTGCCATGGTTCCAGTTCGCGCACCTCGGGCTCGGGCACGTGTCTGAGCACAGCCCCAAGAAAGGGGACACGTCATGCGTCTCCGTCACATGACACGGGGCACGGATGAGTCCTTCCAGGCCCTCACGGCCACCGTGGACCCTACGTGTTACAGTCAAGCGATTGGCCACCCACATTGGCGGGACGCCATGGATATGGAGTTCAATGCTCTTCTACATAATAACACCTGGAGTCTCACCCCGGCCAAACCTGGCATGAATATAGTTGAGTGTAAATGGGTCTACCGCACCAAATGTAAGGCTGATGGGACAGTAGAGCGGTACAAGGCCCGCTTGGTCGCCAAGGGGTTCAATCAGATAGCCGGTGAGGACTTTTTTGAGACTTTTAGCCCCGTTGTCAAACCGACTACAGTGCGTATCTTGCTCTCTCTCTTGGGTGGACTCTACGGCAGCTAGATGTACGTCCACAACGCCTTTCTGAATAGGCGTCTAACGGAGACTGTCTACATGTGTCAACCACCTGGTTATGAAGATCCGGTACACCCAGACTATGTTTGCCACTTGCAGCGGTCTCTATATAGCCTAAAGCAAGCCCCAAGGGCTTGGTTTCATCGACTACATGAGTTCCTTCTTTCTACAGGTTTTGTAGCTTCTAAGACTGATGTGTCTCTATTCTACTACACATCAGGTGACTCACGTATCTATCCACTAGTATATGTAGATGATATTATAATGATGGGAAACGACACAGCTTTATTGACTACTCTGCTTGGGCGGTTATCAGTGGCCTTTAAGATCCGAGACCTGGGGACTCCGACTTTTTTCCTTGGCATTGAGACGATATCCGTGGATGGCGGCTTGTTGTCACAGCGTCGATACATGGATGACATCCTTACCCGTGCTGGCATGGTTGATTGCAAGTCTCTTTCCACTCCAGCAACAATCACTAAAGTCGCATCTCCGTCTACAGATCCTTATGAGAACCCAACGCAATACCGTAGGCTGGCTGGGGCGCTGCAGTATCTCACCATCACTCGGCCAGACCTATCTTATGCTGTAAACAGGATATGTCAGTTCATGCATGCTCCTACTGACGAGCACTGGGACATGCTCAAGTGGGTTCTGCGTTATGTGAAGGGTACGCTCACCTATGGACTACGTCTAACAGCCTCTCCGTCATCAGACGTTCACGCTTACTCGGATTCCGACTGGGCCGGGTGTCCTATAGACAGGAAGTTTACTAGTGGGTATGTTGTTTTCCTTGGCACGAATCTTGTTTCATGGGTGTCACGCAAACAGCGAACTGTCGCTAGGTCGTCCACTGAAGCTGAGTATAAGGGCCCGACTGATGTTGCAGCCGAGGTCACATGGGCTATGTCGCTTCTTCTGGAACTGGGCCTACATTCTAGTACACCCGCAACTCTGTGGTGCGACAATTTAGGAGTTACTTACATGTGTGCGAATCCAGTGTTTCATGCTCGGACTAAACATGTGGAGATTGATTACCATTTTGTTCGGGATAAAGTGACGACCGGGGAGTTTACATTCAATTTTGTGTCTACGAAGGATCAGCTGGCCGACATCTTCACCAAACCTCTGGTTTCTGCTTGCTTCGCTTCTTTGAGGGACAAGCTGAATGTTGTTGCTTCACCACCTTCAGCTTGAGGGGGTGTGTTAGGCATATTATATTGTTGGTACAATTTAATGTAACATTAGACTTAGTCTTATTGTATTTGATTTAGTCTTGTAACCATTAGCTATTGTACATGGTTAGTCAGATTAGTTCTCTATCTCTTACCTATCTCCTGTAACGACCAATTCTGATTCAACGAGAATTATTCACTCATCGTATCAATGTGGGTTCGTTTTGTGTGGTAAATAAAGGTTTAATTTATGTGTTAAGCCGAGTTACCATGATTTACATATTTTTAAATGGTTTGTTGGGTCGTAGTGTGAGGGCCTGAGTTGAAGAATTAATCTTTTGGGATAATGTTTATGAATTATGAATTTATGATGGTTTCTATATGTGGCCACTCCACGTTTAGCAACACCCTTTCCTTTTTGGTGTACGTCCGGCTTTCGACCATAGTCAATTTCTTAAATGCTAAGCATGGTGCAAGAGAGTAGAGATGCACATGTACCCACACATGTTGTTTCTGCTTTTAATAATTTATTATATTTATTCATCAAACCACAATAATATAATGGCTTACCTATGGCTTTTTAATTTCTACGTGCTGAAGGCGACGTCACATATTCACATCATATGTATTTTGTGTTAGAATTAAATATATCACATGCATCATAATATGTGAGATCATACTAATTTCTTTCTTTTTGTTCACTTCTAATTTCTTTCTTTTTGTTTGGGATATTAATAAAGACAATATAATTTTATTATTTGGTATAAGCTAGATATTTATGTTAGTAGAGGTTATTTTAATCAATATGTTAAAGATATTATAATCTTGTGAAGCCCCTTAGTGTTTAATTTGGATACACACTTCTCCTCTCAAAAGGTTGAATTCCCAACCTAAGGGCTTCTCACACCCCGGTAGAGTATTTGGGAGGATGTAAATGACTCAATACATAGGGTCAAATGCCGGTGCACATAAGTGATCTGCCTACTTTGGACATAATCCCCACATTACCGCAGTCAAGGTTCGAATCTTGGTTTCTTAGCTTCTCCCAAATACTGCCTATTGAACTAATGAGCTAAGCTCGTGCGGGATGGAAACACATTTATTCTCCTAAAAGGTTGAATCTCCAACCCCAAGAACCCCCTTACATCCCGACCTGAAAACTAAAATGACCAATAGGCTGCTCCCAGTGAGAATCAAACCTTAAACTTATAGTTATCAATCAAATAACTGGACCAACTTAATTGGATTGTTCCCACACATTTCGACTGCATTTGATTCATAGGGACATAGGGTTTAGATCAAAAGAATGAAAATAAATATATGTTATAGGCGAGTTTGTGTGCATATTAGTTAACAAAAAATGTGACTTACGGTGTGGTGAGTTTGATTTGAAGGTCCTGAATGAGTTCTCATATGGCGGCAATATTTGACTGAGATGATACCAAATTGTAGAAAGAAGATGAAATTAGGTTAAACCAAAGTACTGTATTAGTTAAGAACAAAATTGAGAATGAACTCAACTCCTCATTTAATTTTAATTTAAACATTAATGAGAATTAGTCCAACATACACCAATGCTAGCTAGGCCCATGCATTTTATGACTATGGCCTATAGGGTGGGTAAAACAATGCTGTCCTCTAACACAATATAATTTATGTGGTACGTGCCGACTGCAATAGTTATGCTGTGCAACCGAATGTACCATGCGCATGGTGCATACGGTTCAAAACGACGTCGTTTTGATTAAAAACGCGCGTCCCACTTAAAAAAAAAAATCAGGTTCGACTCTCAGCAATAGCATTATTGTGGATATATAATTATGAAATTGTGGATATATAGTTATGAAATTGTGGTTATATAGTTATGAATTTCTGAATATATAAAAATGCTATTGCCGGGAATCGAACCTGATTTCTTCTTTAAGTGGGACGCGCGTTTTTTTAACCAAAACGGCGCCGTTTTGCAACCGTATGCACCTTGCAAGGTGCATTCGCACCTTGCAAGGTGCATTCGCACCTTGCAAGGTGCATTCGGTTGCACAGCATAATTTGCGTGCCGACTGAACATCATAAACTCAGAAACAGTTGCATACTATTTAGCCCACTTTGTTTGACAGCTTTGTCTCATGAGCCTTAATTGTCTTGGCCTTTTAAGGCCACATTATGGAGGTGATCGATGAATTCATGAAATTCTTTCAATACTGCAATCCCTCCTCATTTTCTACAACCCCTTTTCTTGTTGTATAATAAAAAACCCTAATTTATAAGCTCCAGGCCAGTCATTTTCTTCTAGCTTTACTACAATTAAACCTCACCAATTCACTTTAACCACAATCACTTCTCTGTGCCTAGTACTGCAAATAATAATACCAATTTTTAGGAATGTCTATAAACACCTTTGAGTTTATTTCAATTCTCTAATTCTTCAAAAAAAAAATTTGTGCGACATTTCATTAGGGGTTGAACCACTACAAGAAAAATGCACATAGACAACACTAGAAAGACAACAGTTTTTAAGAAAAGTGTTGTCTTTTGTATAAAAGACAACAGTTTGGTCCAAAACCGTTGTCTTTGATGCAACACTTTTGTCAAAGACAACGGTTTTTACTTAACCGTTGTTATAAGTGTGTTGTCTTTGTGCATTTTGTGAAAAGACAACACCACAACGACAACGGTTTTTTAAAACCGTTGTCTATGTGCGTTTTTTTTAAATAAGACAACGGTTTTTTTAACTGTTGTTGTTGGTGTGTTGTCTTTAAGCGCACTGGAATACACAACACTAGAAAGACAACGGTTGTTTAAAACCGTTGTCTTTGTGAGCTCTTTTTTTTTAAAAAGACAACAGTTTTATTTAACCGTTGTCGTTGGTGTGTTGTCGTTAAGCGCACTCGAATACACAACACTAAAACGACAACGGTTTTATATAACCGTTGTCGTTGCGCGTTCTTTATTTGTTTAAGACAACGGTTTTATTTAACCGTTGTCTTTGGTATGTTGTCTTTAAGCGTATTTGAATACACAACACTACAAAGGCAACAGTTTTAAATAACCGTTGTCTTTGCGCATCATTATTTAACAGGTATATAAAATAAAAACAAGGATGTTAACAACAAGAATTGAACTTATGACCTCAAACTTAACAAGTAAGCAATCTATCCAACTAAGCAACACAAACTCTTATGCCTAAAGGTGCAACATCTGGTATATAACTGAGTTGCTTCTGTGTTGTTTGTGAAAACCAAAACCACAATTTTAGAAAATAGTCGAAGAATTCCCCCTAAGAAGAATAGAACTTAAGATCTCTAATCTCTAACATAATAAACTAAGCTAAACCCACCAAGCCACACTAACACTTATGTATTTAAGTGCAACATCTAGTATATTACCAGTTTGCTTATGTGTTGTCTTTGAGAACCAAGACAATGATTGCATAAAATAGGTTAAGAATGCCACCATAAAAGATAGAACCTAAGACCTTTAACATAATAAACAAAGCTAAATCCACCAAGCCATACCAACTCTTGTGTACTAAAGTGTTACACTTTATGTTTTACCTATAATTTAACAGAGAAAGAATACAATTCAAAAGTTAATTTAATAGTTCTATTTTCGTTCATATTTAAATATAAAATTATTCACCAGAATTTCAAAGTAAATTTATTAAAGTTTTATTTTCAATTATATTACAATTACGACCAATCTATGAATTCAAAAAAATAATAATAATTATCAAGTATAAAAAACAATATGGGGTGGTGTTCATAATGGTGCGGGATGATGTGTAGGGGTTAAGGGTTGTATGATAGGGGCCGGGGTTGGTAATCGACACTTCCGGCTAGCGCATGACTGACAAGGTTAGCTATATATATGTTAGTAATCGACCATTCCGACTAGCGCATGACTAACAAGGTTAGCTATGTTGGTAATCGACCCTTCCGGCTAGCGAATGACTAACAAGGTTAGCTATATGTTGTTAATCGACCCTCCCAGCATGCCCGGGACACGTTGAGAATGGATATGAAAGAGTAGTTGATCGATGCCGTACAGTTAGCTATATCCCATTTCTTTTGCCGCGATTTTAATTAGCTCTATGTTCATAATTACCAAACTATATATTCATAATTTTTGAATTGAAATGCATATTCATAATGATTGAATAACTCTGATCTATATTCACAATTACTGAACTTTATGTTTATAATTTGCGATGTTCATATTCCCAAGTGTTGATAACTATACAGTTTAGAAATTATGAATCAACAATACAGAAATTATGAATCTGTAGTATAGAAATTATGAATTTACTGTATAGAAATTATTAATCTATACAACTGTATTTAAATTAGAAATATACTGTATAGAAATTATGAATCTACATTATAGGGAAATGGGACGTGATCTTTGTATTTGGGTCGCCAGTCTAGGCTTGTACCTCGGGCTTTATACGTACTATTTTGGACCTATCACCACGAGCTATAAAGCTAATATTTTCTTGTCCCCCGTTCTGTACCTATATACCTGGTACTCAATCATTATTGCATGGACCATGGTCCACACAATTGTGTGGACCATAACTAACAAAATACATTTTTAATATACTAAGGGTACATTATTTATGTACTTAATGTACATTTTTCAAAAGTACATTATTTTATATAAAACTACTATTTTGGACCTAGCGTCCCGAGTAATAAAGCTACTATTTTCTTACCCATGTTATATACCTATATACCCGATTTATGGTGGATCCGGTCCCTATAATAAATCATCAATATAGTTATTTAATTTGTAAAAAAATGAAGATTTAGTATAAAATAAAAATAAAACTTTCGTTATTTTGCTTATTATATTAGATATATATGTTATTCTTTAAAAGAAATAAAAGTTAAAATAATTTTGACTTTAATATATATTAGATATATATGTTATTCTTTAAATGTTGAATTTCAAAACTTGCACAATTTGTAAAAAATCTTCTTCCCTCTCAAATAAAATAATTCCCTCTTTGTAAATTTTGACTTC